CAAAAGGTGCGGTTGGCCCAGGTGGGGGCCAGAGTGGGGAGAGGGTGCTGTCAAAGGGACCTTCTGACCCATACTTGGGCCTGGCTCGGTTGTCACCCCTAGAAGCCCTTCACGCCGGTCAAGTACTTCTCCATTGACCGCGTATTCCGGAATGAGACCCTGGACGCCACGCACCTGGCTGAGTTCCACCAGATCGAGGGTGTGGTGGCGGATCACGGCCTCACCCTGGGCCACCTCATGGGCGTTCTGCGGGAGTTCTTCACCAAGCTGGGTGAGCAGGGGGGCAGGGGTGGGCAGCGGTGGTGCGGCAGCAGGCGGGTGTGTTGATCACCAGCATTATCCTCCAAACCCCTGCTCTCCTGCCCGCCCCTACTCCCTGCAGGTATCACGCAACTCCGCTTCAAGCCAGCCTACAACCCATACACAGAGCCCAGCATGGAGGTGTTCAGCTACCACCAAGGTCAGGGTGGGCCCTCGTACTGGGGTGGGAGGGAGGTCTCAGGCTACCATGGTTCAGCCTGGGTCCCCCCACTGCCACACCTGTACCCCACCGCCACACCTGTACCCCACCTCCCAAGCTCACCACCAGACTCAGAACCTGTAGCAGCAGTGCCCAGAAACTCAACACGCGCTGCCCCTGTCTTCTCTGTCCTGCCCCTACAGGCCTGAAGAAGTGGGTGGAGGTCGGAAACTCGGGGGTCTTCCGTCCAGAGATGCTGCTGCCCATGGGGCTTCCCGAGAATGTGTCGGTCATTGCCTGGGGCCTCTCCCTGGAGCGGTAAGTGCCCAGGTGGAAACTCTGGGTGTCCAGCTGCCTCAAACAACTCTCCAGGCATAGGGGCCTGCGTGGTTTCAGCACCACCCATTCATTCATCCAATGGACAAAACTTTCATAGTAAGCACAGACTGAACACCCGGCCCCGTGCTGTGAACATGACAGCTCATGTCCCTGCCTTTGAACCTGGGGTCCCAGTGGAGCGAGAAGGATGATAACTAGCAAGACCAACAAGCATATCAGGCCAGGTGTGGTAGCTCCCAGTGCTGTGGGAGGCCAAGGCAGGAGGATTGTCTGAGCCAGGAGTTTGAGGTCAACCTGGGCAATAGAGCAAGTCTCCATCTCTACAAAGAATAAAAACAGGCCAGGCGTGGTGGCACATGCATATAATCCCAGCACTGTGGGTGGCTGAGGCAGGTGTATACCTGAGGTCAGGAGTTTGAGGCCAGCCTGACCAACATGGCAAAACCTCGTCTCTAATAAAAATATAAAAATTAGCCAGGTGTGTTGGCAGGTGCCTGTAATCCCAGCTACTTGGGAGGCTGAGGCAGGAGAATTGTTTGAACCCAGGAGGCAGAGGCTGCAGTGAGCCAAGATCATGCCACTGCACTCTATTCTAGCCTGGGCAACAGAGTGTGACTCTATCTCCCGTCTCTACTAAAACTACAAAAATTAGCCGGGCACTGTTGCGTGTGTCTGTAGTCCTAGTCCTAGGTACTCATGAGGCCTAGGTACGAGAATCACTTGAACCTGGGAGGTGGAGGTTGCAGTGAGCCGAGATTGTGCTACCGCACTCCACCCTAGGTTATAGAGTGAGACTATGTCTCAAAAAACAAATGCACTCAGCAAATAAAGACACAAGTGTGTACCAGGGCAGTAAGTGGTATAGGGAGGGCTAAGGCAACTACGTGGTCAGTGAAGGCATCATGGAGGAAGAAGTGCCATCTTAGCAAAATCTGGAGGTAGATAAAGGGGTAAACTGTGAGAGTATCTGGGGAAGGGTGTTCTAGGTAGTGGTCACAGTTCAAAGGCCCAGAAGTGGGAATGTGCCTTTTGTATTAGGAGAAGCACGAGTAGGCTGGTGTGGCTGAAGGCAGAGGGTGAGAGGTGATAGAGCAGTTGGCGCAGGGCCCTATGGGTCATGGGGAGAACTTGAACTTTTCCTCTGAGGAAGATGGGAGCCATCCTAAGCCAAAGAGTGCATGTGCTGACCTCATGGTAAACTCTGTTCCCTTTCTTACAAGCCCAACGATGATCAAATATGGCATCAACAACATCCGGGACCTGGTGGGCCACAAGGTAAACCTGCAGATGGTGTACGACAGTCCCCTGTGCCGCCTGGATGCTGAGCCGAGGCCCCCTCCCACACAGGAGGCTGCGTGACATGGGCCAGTCTAGGACAGCTCATCCTCCCTGAGTCCCTGCTGCTGCACTCCTTTGCATCCCTGGCCAGTGACCTTGTATTTATGAGGCCTCTGTGAGGCCAGCCCCCACCTTCCTCTTTCCCACCTGTCCCAGAACCAGAATCCCAGGGACAGAGGACCAGGTAGCAGGTTCCTTCTGTTGTCCTGTGTGGTGTGTCCACTGTGAGGGTGGGCCTTGAGGAGACCTGTGGGCCACCTACTGTCTAATAAAGTGGGCAGTTGCCCCCATCTGGTGGCTTTCCTTAGGGGTGACATGTCTTGTTGGGTCCCCCTAGCTCAGTGTGCCACTTGATGGTCAAAAATCTGGGTACTGGACCAGGCATAGTGCCTCACTTCTGTAATCCCAGAACTTTTGGGAGACTGAGGTGGGTGGGTCACTTGAGGTCAGAAGTTCAGGAACAGCCTGGCCAAAGAGGTGAAACCACATCTCTACTAAAAATAAAAAAATTAGGCCAGGCATGGTGGCTCACGCCTGTAATCCCAACACTTCGGGAAGCCAAGGCAGGCAGATCACTTGAGGTCAGGAGTTCAAGACCAGCCTGGCCAACACAGTGAAAACCCATCTCTACTAAAAATACAAAAAAAAAAAAAAAATCAGCTGGGCATGGTGGCGAGCGCCTGTAGTTCCAGCTACTCTGGAGGCTGAAGCACGAGAATCACTTGAACCAAGAGGCAGAGGTTGCAGTGAGCCAAGACTGTGCCACTGCACTACAGCCTGGGTGACACAACAAGACTCTTGTTTCAAAAAAAAAAAAAAAAACGCCGGGTGCGGTGGCTCAAGCCTGTAATCCCAGCACTTTGGGAGGCCGAGACGGGCGGATCACGAGGTCAGGAGATCGAGACCATCCTGGCTAACACGGTGAAACCCCGTCTCTACTAAAAATACAAAAACTTAGCCGGGCGAGGTGGCAGGCGCCTGTAGTCCCAGCTACTCGGGAGGCTGAGGCAGGAGAATGGCATAAACCCGGGAGGCGGAGCTTGCAGTGAGCTGAGATCTGGCCACTGCACTCCAGCCTGGGTGACAGAGCGAGACTCCGTCTCAAAAAAAAAAAAAAAAAAATTAGGCATGGTGGCAGGCACCTGTAGTCCCAGCTACTTGGGAGGCTGAGGTGGGAGAATCGCTTGAACCCAGGAGGTGGAGGTTGTAGAGAGCCAAGATCACACCACTGCACTCCAGCATAGGCCAGAGAGAGACCTGTCCCCAAAAAACAAAAATTAGCTCAGCATGGTGGCTCATGCCTATAATCTCAGGTACTCCAGAGACAGGTAGATCAGTTTAGCCTGGGAGGTCGAGGCTGCAATGAGCCGTGATTACACCACTGCACTCCAGCCTGGGCAACACAGTGAGACCCTGTCATTAAATAAATACATATTTATGTGTCTAAATAAACATAAGTACCCTGGAATCTGTTGCCATTTCCATCAAATCTGAACCTCGGCTGTGTAGGGATGAAGAGAAAGCTTCCTTATTGCTCTCTGAAGTTTCACTAAAAATTACTGACAAAAGGCAGATTAATAAGAGAAAAGGAATACGAATGTATTTGATCATAGTGTTACCTGACAAGCCTTCAGAATGAAGACCGAGAGATAAGGGGAAACTTTTGTTTAGAGATGGAGTCTGGCTCTGTTGACTGGGCTGGAGTGTACGGGTGATCTTGGCTCACTGCAGCCTCAAGGGATTCTCCTGCCTCAGCTTCCTAAATAGCTGGGATTATACGTGCCTGCCACCATGCCTGATTAATGAAAAGTGTCTTATGCTTAGGTTCAACAAAGTTTGAACACCCAGGTAGAAATCTAATTGGACAAAAAGGGTGTGTTGTGGTTCACGCTTGTAATCCCAACACTTTGGGAGGCTGAGGCGGGTGGATCACTTGAGGCCAGGAGTTTGAGACCAGCCTGGGCAACATGGAAAAACCCCATCTCTACTAAAAATACAAAAATTAGCTGGGCATGGTGCATCTGTAATCCCAGCTACTCGGTTGGCTGAGAATCGCTTGAACCCGGGAGGCCAAGGTTGCAGTGAGTTGAGATCTCGCCACTGCACTCCAGTGTCGCCAGGACAACAGAGCAAGACTCAAAAAAAAAGGTGGGGGGGTTGTCTAATACTAATAGGTTGAGTCGGGAAAGCCTGCAAGGCCTGTTTGTCTAGATTCTTCTTGGAATCTCAGGAATGCATGCTCAGAGAGACCAAGAAAAATCTACATAGGTAGGCCTTGTGTGGGGCAGAAACTTCTTTGAAACGGAGGTCTTATGACCTACAGTCAATAGGGTAGGTCAGATAATTTCTTATTTTTTTGAGACAGCACTTTGGGAAACCAAGATGGGAGGATGGCTTGAGCCCAGAAGTTGGAGATCAGCCTGGGCTCAGCACAGAGAATTCTCATTTCTACAGGAAAAAATATATATAATTATGTGTATATGTGTTTGTTTATTTATTTATTTTTGAGACGGAGCCTCACTCTGTCACCCAGGCTGGAGTGCAGTGGCATGATCTCAGCTTACTGCAACCTCTGCCTCCCAGATTCAAGCGATTCTGCCTCAGGGTGGCGGGCACCTGTGGTCCCAGCTACTCAGGAGGCTGAGGCAGGAGAATGGCGTGAACCCGGGAGGCGGAGCTTGCAGTGAGCCGAGATCGCTCCACTGTACTGCAGCCTGGGTGACGGAGCGAGACTCTGTCTGAAAATAAATAAATAAAAGAGCGTGGTGGATGACACTGGTAGTCCCAGCTACCTGGGAGGTCGAGGCTGCAGTGAGCCATGATCGCACCACTGCACTCCAGCCTGGGTGACAGACCAAGACCTTGTCTCAAAAAAAAAAAAAAAAAATTGTTATTGAGAATATTTTCCAAGGCAGAGTGGATGAAGTTAGATGTACAGAATAAATACAGGACTCTCTGAGATCCCTATAACCTGAGCGCTGCGTGTGACCCTGGAGCCTCACAGGGGCACACACGGGCACACAGAGCTTAGCCTCCTGTTATCCAGCAGCGCCTATTGCGCGCGCAGCCCCAGGACCACGAAACTGCTGCTTAACGGTCGGCCCCGCCCCATTGGCCGCGCAAGTTCTCAAAGGGGGCGGGGCTGGGAGCACGAGTCGCACAACAAGCACGCGCCGGCGCGGAGCTCACCAGGGGCGGGTCGGCGCATGCGCAGATGGTGCGAGCTTGAAGGCGGGAAAATACGTAATGGAGCGACAGGGAGTACGCGGCGCTTGTTTCCTTCGCGCGCGTGGGGCGGGCGGACAGATGGGCAGGGAACGGCTGCGATCCCAGCCTTCTCCAGCGGACCTGAGCCCCGCCGCTTGTCCTTTGCTATTGGGGCTGCCTCTCATCAGGCCTGGCCCCAAATTTCCTGACTGACTGAACCCGGCCCTGACTGACGCACTGACGGTCTGATTTCCACACATGGCGCGTGGCCGAAATGGAGTAGAGAAAGGCACAAAAACCCACGCGCCGCACCCGTTTCTTTCATTTCTTTTCTCCCAAGTAGCTAGGATTATAGGCATGCCCCAACCACGTCAGCTAAGTTTTGTATTTTTAGTAGAGACGGGGTTTCACCATATTGCCCAGGCTGTTCTCGAACTCCTGACCTCGTGATCCGCCCGCCTCGGCCTCCCAAAGTGCTGGGATTACAGGCGTGAGCCACCACGCCCAGCCTCATTTCTTTTCTCCTACCTCTTCTTTCTGGAAGGACTCCAGCCAACACACATACCAGTTAGGAGCCCAGGTCCCCCAGTTACATTCCTACAGTCCTGCCCTCACCCGGCCGCTCTAGGTCTGGTGTCCAGGTGTCCCCTAGGGACAGAGTGTCCTTTCACCCCACGCCCCTGCCCTCATGGCACCTGCCCAGCCCTGCCTGTCTCTCCTGCGGGTCCCCACCGTCCCGCAGCGGCACATAGAGGTGCCCAGGGTTGAAGGGTCGGCAGGAGGACGATGTGTTCACTCCTTATCCTCCCTCCTTGGCCTCCCTCCTGACTGTGCTCGCAGGTGGACGTGCCCCATGTGAAGTGCAAAGACCAGGAGCCACAGCCCTTGGGGGAGAGCAAGGAGCATCAGCGGTGGGAAGAGAACTGCAAGGAGGAAGCTGGTGGAGGGCCAGCTAGGTGAGGAAGATCCCAGCCCTGTGGGTCCACACGGGCCCCTGGGTCCCTCTCATTCACTGTTTTCTTCCCCAAGGCTCTGCCAGTGTCTGCTTCTTTCTTTTTTTTTTTTTCCTCCTAACACAGCATCTTGCTTTGTCACCGTGCAGCGGCATGATCACAGCTCACTGCAACCTCCACCTCCCAGACTCAAGTGATTCTCCCACCTCAGCCTCCGAAATAGCTGGGACTAGAGGCATGCCAGAATGTCTGGCTAATTTATTAAAATATATTGACTGGGCACAGTGGTTCATGTCTGTAATCCCAACAATTTGGGAGGCCAAGGTGGGTGGATCACCTGAGGTCAGGAGTTTGAGACCAGCCTGACAAACATGGAGAAACCCCATCTCTACTAAAAATACAAAATTAGCCGGGCATGGTGGCACATGCCTGTAATCCCAGCTACTCGGAAGGCTGAGGCAGGAGAATTGCTTGAACCTGGGAAGTGGAAGTTGCGGTGAGCTGAGATCGCGCCATTGCACTCCAACCTGGACAAAAAGAACGAAACTCTGTCTCAAAAAAAAAAAAAAGGTCGGGCGCGGTGGCTCAAGCCTGTAATCCCAGCACTTTGGGAGGCCGAGACGGGCGGATCACGAGGTCAGGAGATCGAGACCATCCTGGCTAACACGGTGAAACCCTGTCTCTACTAAAAAAATACAAAAAACTAGCCGGGCGAGGTGGCGGGCGCCTGTAGTCCCAGGTATTCGGGAGGCTGAGGCAGGAGAATGGTGTAAACCCAGGAGGCGGAGCTTGCAATGAGCCGAGATCTGGCCACTGCACTCCAGCCTGGGGGACAGAGCGAGACTCCGTCTCAAAAAAAAAAAAAAAAAAAAAAAAAAAAAAGCCAGGAGTGGTGGCTCACACCTGTAATCCCAGCACTTTGGGAGGCCGAGGTGGGTGGATCAAGAGGTCAGGTGGTTGAGACCATCCTGGCTAACACAGTGAAACCCCGTCTCTACTAAAAATACAAAAAATTAGCTGGGCGTGGTGGCGGACGCCTATAGTCCCAGCTACTCGGGAGACTGAGGCAGGAGAATGGCATGAACCCGGGAGGTGGAGGTTGCAGTGAGCCGAGATCGTGCCACTGCACTCCATACTGGGCAAAAGTGCGAGACTCCATCTCAAAAAAAAAAAAAAAAAAAAAGAGAGATGGAGACCATCCTGGCCAACATGATGAAACCCCGCCTCTGCTAAAAATACAAAAATTAGCTGGGTATGGTGGCAAACACCTGTAGTCCCAGCTACTCTGGAGGCTGAGGCAGGAGAATCACTTGAACCCCAGAGGTAGAGGTTGCAGTGAGCCAAGATCATGCCATTGCACTACAGCCTGGCGACAGAGTGAGACTTTGTCTCAAAAAAAAAAAAAAAAAAAAATTTAGTAGGCCAGGCACCGGTGGCTCGTGCCTGTAATCCCAGCACTTTGGGAGGCCGAGGCAGGCAGATCATGAGGTCAGGAGTTTAAGACCAGCCTGGCCAATATGGGGAAACCCTGTGTCTACAAAAATTAGCCAGGCATGGTGACAGATGCCTGTAATCCTAGCTACTCAGGAGGCTGAGGCAGGAGAATTGCTTTAACCTGGGAGGCGGAGATTGCAGTGAGCCAAGATTATGCCATTGCATTCCAGCCTGGGTGACAGAGCAAGACTCGTCTCAAAAAATATATATATACACACACACATACATATACACACACATACATATATATATATATATTTAGTAGAGGCTGGGCACGGTGGCTCATGCCTGTAATCCCAGCACTTTGGGAGGCTGGCGCTGGCAGATAACTTGAGGTCAGGATTTCGAGACCAGCCTGACCCACATGGTGAAACTGTCTCTACTAAAAATACAAAAATCAGCCAGGCATGGTGGTACACACATGTAGTCCTAGCTACTCAGGAGGCCAAGACAGGAGGATCCCTTGAGCCCAGGAGTTTGAGACCAGCCTGGGCAACAGAGGGAGACGCATCTCTCCAAAAAGAAATAAAAGAAAGAAATCAGCACGGTGTGGTTGCACACACCTGTGGTCCTAGCTACTTGGAAGGCTTAAGTGGGAGGACCACTTGAGCCCGGAAGGTCGAGGCTGCAGTGAGACATGATTGCTTCACTGCACTGGAAAAGCAAGACCCTGTCTCAAAAATAAATAAGTAAATAATGTCATTTCAACTGGTGGCAAGTAAGTGGAATGAAGAAACAAAATATAGTAAGGAGCAAGTAGAGTTACAGGGACCTTAGAGCAGTTGGAGAACTCTGAAGAGGTCACATGAGAAGGGGCCAGCCAGGAGGCATTCTGGGCTCAAAACTTCCACGAAGAGGGGGCCCCAAGTATGAAGTCCCTGAGGTAGGAATAAGCTTGATGTGTTCTCAAAAGAGCAAGAAGGCTGATGTTGGCCCCCAGCACTTTGGGAGGCAGAGGTGGGTGGATCATGAGATCAGGAGTTTGAGACTAGCCTGGCCAACATGGTGAAACCCTGTCTCTACTAAAAATACAAAAAATTAGCCGGGTGTGGTCGCGTGTGCCTGTAATCCCAGCTACTCCAGAGGCTGAGGCAGGAGAATTGCTTGAACCTGGGAGGCAGAGGTTGCAGTGAGCCAAGATCGCACCACTGCACTGTAGCCTGGGCAACAGAGCCTGACTCTGTCTCGGGGAAAGAGGCTGATATGGCAGGTATTGTAATTGGCAGCAGGGACACCCCCGTCCTCCAGACAGACATGCTCATACCCTCCTGGTGTTTGCATCTGACCAAGCACGGAACAGATCATGGTGCTGGGAGACCTTTCCCCTGGGGGCAGCCAGACGAACGTGGAGCCAGGGAAGGTGTCCTTGTAGAAGAGATGTGGAAGCAGAAGGTGTGGGCTGGGCGGGGAAGGAGGAGTTGAGAGAAGGGCTTGTGCAAAGTCCCTGCTTGTGGCATTCGGGGAGCTGAAGGAAGGCCAGTGTGGCTGGGCAAGTGGGGTACAAAGGTGAGGGCAAGGTGAGGGCTGCAGAAGGGGCCAGGTCATGAGGCATTTTGTGGGCTACAGACTTTACCCTAGAGGTTTTTTCAGTAACAGCTTTCAGATATAATTCACATACCATCCAGTTCACCTCTTTTTTTTTTTTTTTTTTTTCCCAGACGGAGACTTGCTCTGTCGCACAGGCTGGAGTGCAGTGGTGCAATCTTGGCTCACTGAAACCTCCCCCTCCTGGATTCAAGCAATTCTGCCTCAGCCTCCCGAGTAGCTGGGACTACAGGCATGCACCACCACGCCTGGCTTTTTTTTTTTTTTGGTAGAGACGGAGTTTCACCATGTTAGCCAGGATGGTCTCAATTTCCTGACCTCGTGATCTGCCCATCTTGGCCTCCCAAAGTGCTGAGATTATAGGCATGAGCCACCGCGCCCAACTCACCTCCTTGAAGTGTATGATTTGATTGCTTTTGGTATATTCAGAGCTGGACAACCATTCTCATAGTCAACTTTAAAACATCTTCATCACTCCAGGCTGGGTACAGGCCTCCCAAAGTCCTGGGATTACAGGCGTGAGCCACTGCATCTGGACTTCCATCTTTTCAATGGCTGAATAATATTCCACATGAGTCTACCGCATTTTGTTTATCCATTCATCTGCTGATAGTCATTCAGGTGGTTTTCACTTTTTCGCTGTTACGAGCAGCACTGCTATGAAATCTATTTAGAAAAGTTTGCGTGTAGACAGATGATTTCATTTCTCCTGGGCATACTCATACCTAGGAAGGGAACTGCTGGCTCACAGAAGTGACATGCTGGCCGGGCGCGGTGGCTCACGCCTGTAATCCCAGCACTTTGGGAGGCCGAGGCGGGCGGATCACAAGGTCAGGAGATCGAGACCACGGTGAAACCCCGTCTCTACTAAAAATACAAAAAATTAGCCGGGCGCGGTTGTGGGCGCCTGTAGTCCCAGCTACTCGGGAGGCTGAGGCAGGAGAATGGCGTGAACCCGGGAGGCGGAGCTTGCAGTGAGCCGAGATCGCGCCACTGCACTCCAGCCTGGGCGACAGAGCGAGACTCCGTCTCAAAAAAAAAAAAAAAAAAAAAAAGAAGTGACATGCTCAGGTTCCAGTTATAAAAAGATACGGCTGCAGGCCGGGCACGGTGGCTCACGCCTGTAGTTTGGGAGTTCGAGGTAGATGGATCACCCGAGGTCAGGAATTCGAGACCAGCCTGGCCAACATGGCAAAACCCCGTCTCTACCAAAAATACAAAATTAGCCAGGCGTGGTGGTGCATGCCTGTAATCTCAGCTACTTGGGAGGGTGAGGCAGGAGAATCACTTGAACCCGGGAGGCGCAGGTTGCACTGAGCCAAGATTGCGCCACTGCACTCCAGCCTGGGCAACAAGAGCGAAACTCTGTCTCAAAAAATACTATTAATTTTAAAAATGGCTGCTTTGTAGAGAATGGCTGGGAGGGAGAATGTGTGAATGTAGGGAGGCCTAGTGAGAGGCTTCTGTGGGGGCGTGGCCTTTAGCAGGGCAGGTGGAGGGAGTGCCTTGTACCATGGGGCACAGGAAGGGGATGAGGGAGGATGTTTCCCGGCCATGATGTGCTGGAGCGAGCTCTTACCGGCTTGCAAGAGCCGATTCTACACATCTCTTCCCAACTTAGCATTTAGCGTCTTGTCTTCATGTTGGTAGCCTGAAGTTGGTTATGGTGGGAGGCTCTGCACCACAGAAACTGGCAAACGCTATGAATCAGGGCTTCCCCCCCATCACACAGCCAGTTGCTAAATGCTTACCAGCACATCACTGTTGCCTGCTTTCCAGCTTGTGGTGGTTTCCAGTAGGTGGTGGCTTCTTGGCAGAGACAAGAACACGAGTTCCGTGTTGTCCTTGTTTTTCTGAGCCATTTTAGGTGGCCAGGGACATCCACCTGTCCAGGATACAGTTGAACTTTCTGACCCGGAACTCGGGATGGGGCGAGGGGCTGGAGATGGTGCTGTGGGAATCAC